AACAACTTGGATAATGTCTGTCAAACGGACACTGTTGTTGTTGTTGTTGTTACTTCTTACAGTTAACCTGCATCATAAAGGTAAGTTATTTTATATTACACTTTTTTTTTAACTTTTCTTTGTTTTAACATTTTAAGCTATTTTTCTTTTTAGATTTATTGCTTAGACTTTCTGTTGTTGTTGTTGTTGTTGTTGTTTGATAATTGTTTTTTTGAATAGTTATGATTGGTATGACAGAAGTAATTTTCTGAACAACTAAGCATATGAAATTTTTCAGCTATATCTTTTCTTTCTTCTTTTTTTCCGCACTGCTGTTCTGTTCTTTTTGGTTGCCAAAAGAAGAAAGACAAAAAAAAAAAATTGCTTTAGTCTTTGGTCATCTTTCAAGTAAACATCTATGTGCAGAATGTATGGACTAATACTTCATAAATAGGCTATAAGACACTGTTGTTGAAGAGTTGTTACTTGACATCATACAATCAGCAACAAAATTGAAAATTTTTGCATGAATCTTGCAGTTTTTTCATTACTTTTTCTTAACGCTGTTAGTCACACTGTATGCGCGGTTTACTGAATACGGTTCAATACTGTAACACCGTCAAAAACTTTAAACTTAATTACTGTAAATGAGAAAAGAAAGTTTATAAAAGTAACAATAAGCACTGAATTTGAGTAATTAGTGACGTTGCTGTTGTTTTTTTCTTACTCTTATTTTTGTTGCTCAAATACTAAACAGATTTAAAATTAATTCCTTATTCTTAGTTGAATTTTTTCTGTTTTTTTTTGTTTATTCTCTTTTAGCAATTGTACATTTTAAATCAACAAATAAACAGTCTATTTTATCGTTTTTTTATTCATTATGTCCTAAATTATTTATTTTTTGAAGTAATTACCTATTGTTGTTGTTGCTGTATTTCCTATCTTTAAAACTCTGTTTTTTTTGTCATTTATGAAAAACTGAAACAGTGGTGCAGGAAAAAAAACAGAACGATAAAGAAAGTTGTTTTCAAAAGTGGAAAAAAGTGAATTTATTATATCTTTAGCGTTCTACTTTTTGACTCAAATTTATATATTGCTTTCTGATAGCAATAATTAATTCTTCATTAATGATTACACTCAGTTAATCTTAGAAAAATTTCTTCAATGTTCACCAGCTAACAGTTTCACTATCTTAGCCGGTTTTGTTTTAACCTGCCAAAAAATTGGCGCTGATATTTCATCTTAGACGGCAGTTCTATTCTCAGTGTCTAAAATAGGCTTTTCTTGGTTTTTTTTTTACAGTTTCTTCTTTTACTTGGTTAGCTTTAACCGAAGAAATCACCATATTCCAGTTTTATTCAATGGTTATTCATTGCATTGTCAACACCAATAATACTTTAGCAATTTTAAATCTTATTTTTTTTTTTTTTTGATTTATAA